ATCAAAACAAACCAACAATCTCCTCTCAAAGTTTTGAGCCTGAAAGAATGAAACAATGATAGTACCAAGAACTACAAAGGGAACTTCAAGATGTGGAAAATAAACCTGGCTTTCTATCACAAACAGTATTTCAAAGTAGGCTTTTCAAATCTGTGAAAAGTAGACATATATTAATTTATTTCTGGTTAAAGTATTGTCTCCTCCTGGGGGAGCTGGAATGAGATCTTTGTTTTGATAATATTTAACTTCTGGAAAGAAATTTACATTGTTTAAAATGTTATTGGTGTTTATGAGGTTCAATATAAATTTAAATTCTTATGTCATAGTATCTTCATTATTATTATTTCATGAGTTCTGTGGTATTCAATTTTCATTGTAGTCGTGAAGAGAATTTTATTCCTACTGCTATTTAAACAGGAGAATCCTTAAATACCCAAATTAACTTTAAAAATATTCTTTTCTTCTAGAATCCACTGGTGTTGATGAGCAGCAGAGGAATCTAGACCACAAGTGTGCGGATTTGATGAAACTCGTTGATGCTCTCACAGCATGTTCCTATAGTAAAACACAATAATGTATATCAAGCTAAATTCACAAGATTAGACCACTGGGCCACTGTGTTTAGAATTATTTTATTTTTTACTGGGAGTCACAAATCTTAATTAACTGGATATTTGGTAATGTGAAAGTATTATCCCATCCAATTCATTGTTTTGTTTAACAAACTTGTTTTGAAACTTAGAAAAGACTGCCCTTAAGTGTGAATGCCTTAATTTATTAATTCTAATAAATTTTGAATTTTAAAAAGAAAATGTGATTTCTCAACTGACTTTTGTATGTCCATTTTTAGGTCTTGCAACTTTTTCAATTTCTTCATTAGTTCTAATAGTTATGGGGTAGAGCCTTTATGGTTTTCTATATATACAATCATGTCATCTGCTAACAGACAATTTTGCTTCTTCCTTTCCAATATGGGTGCTTTTATTCTTGCCTTTCATTAGATCATTTAACATTTCTCTGAATAACATTTTATACTTTTCTACATAGAGGCCTTGCACCGTGCACACTTGTTCAGTTCAATCCCATATGTTTGATATTTTATGTTGCTACTGTACTTTTGTTTTTTACTCAATGGCATGTGCTTATAGATCAGTAGATCAACTTGAGGGACATGCAATTCTAGAATTGTGAATGGTTCTATTTTAGAAAAAAATATTTAATTCGATTTAAATTGCAAAAATAAATTTAAATTTCTGTTTTGTTTACAAGTATCATAACACAAAAACCTTCACAAGGATGTTCAGACCAAGAGGGGTTTCCAGTCAAGTTGGATGAGTAGATAATGCTGTGCTCCCCTCCCCCTACAACCACATCAAAATTACAACTACACTACAGAACAACCATCATTGAGAATTGCCTGAAGTCTGGCTCAACAGAAGTCCTGTAACTAAGGGTCTATAGAAGAAGACAAATTAAGACTGGGAGTAGGGGCAGGACACGGAATAGGCTGGCCCCACACTCTTGTGTGCACGGTTAAAAATCAGGCGGGATATCTTGGCTTTGGAGGTTCCCCTGAGGAGTGAGGGGCCCCAGCCACACACCAGGCTCCATAGTCCAGGGTTCAAGTGCTGGGAACAGAAGTCCCCATAATATCTGGCTGTGAAAACCAGCGGAGATTGTGGCTGAGTGAGACAGGGTTTTCTATCATCTGCATCAAGTGTCATCACTTGTACAAAATCCTGATTTTTGGTTCAGGAAAATGTGATACTTTACATGTGAGCAGCAGAAATGACAAGATAGCAGTGGGTAAGGGGAATGGGAAGGCGCTGAACATGGGAAGCTTTGGGACAACGGGGCATGAGTGAATTGTGGCCATAAAAGAAATCCTCTGAATGCCACTTGAAGACTGTATATGTGAATAATCACTTCTTAGCCTTATACCTGACATCAAGTACCCTAGTGGTTCATAGATAAAGTTAAAAACTGTTCACAGAATTTGCATGGGTATGTATATGCCCTTTTCTAGAGAGAGCTCACAGCTATTTTTAGATCCTCAGAAGGAACTGTGAGCTTCCGTATGTTTAAGGAATTCTGCCATACTAAATGAGGAAAGATTTTTGAAAAGGTGTGAAAGATGTGAAAAGCAAAAACAAAAACCCTGTACTTTAGAAAGATTATGAAACCACTACACTAATTATGGCAGTGTCTCTCCAGTTATATGTCACAACCACTTTCATCACAATCGCCTGTTTGAAATTCACATTCAGGGGCCCCATCCAGACCCTGTGAGTTGGACTCTTTTTATTTTTAGAAAACTTGTTTTTAAACATTTACCAGTATACAACTGCCATATCTCTCAATTTTCATGGATTACATGGTCAAGAAAAAAAATGTCCTCAAGCAACAAGAAAGGCAAAATATAATACTAATAAAGGAAACAAAAATGATGCTTTCTGTCAGATGATTTTCTTTGGAGATACCAAAAGGTAAGAGACAATTAAGGCAGCTACAGAGTTTTGAGAGAAAACATTGTGTTCTAAGAAGAAATATCCAGTCAGAGTGTCTTTTGCATGTGAGGCCACAGAACCAAATACTATGATATCCAGGGATCCAAAACTATTTCACTTATTTTCTCCTTGAAAAGCTTAAAGGAAAAACTTGAAAGGGTCAGCACCAAAACAAGCTGACCACAGAAGACAAAATGATTTCTGTACATTTGGCTACAAGCCAAATGCAACTACAATATTTGAAAAAATGAGTTGGACTCTTTAGTAGTAGGGCCTATGACACTGTATTTTGAGACTTGCAGGTGATTCTTACCAAGACTAAGGTTTGAAAACCATATAATTACTGGATGGGTTTGATGAAGGAAAGTCTAGAGTCCAGAAAACTAGAAGATGATTACAACAGGCCACATGAAATGATCTGAGCATTCTCATCATCTGACTGTGTCATTTATATAACAATTGATACCTAGGCTACTTCTAGGGTTCAAAGCCATTTTATTAGAAATATTCACGTTCTGTTTTTCATCACATATTAATTAAAGACTCTACAGAAAATACTGCTCGGGGTTTTGAATGTCAAACTTCTCTAGCTGCAAGCTCCAGACAGAACTGTATATACCCTTGGAGAAGTTTCCATTCTAATAAACAGATTGGGGCAAGTTGGAGGATTGTGTTCTGCTCACTTCTAGAGAAGCAATGAAAATTAAGTGGTTAAAGGTACCCAACATAAAGTTACAGCTCTTTAAATCTCATTCTGTTGCATATATGAATTTTAAAAGGAACAAAAGGGTGAACAGGGAAAAGCAAGTCTCCCTCATCCCACTTTCTCTCAGGCACCAACTTTTCCCTTCTTCAGAGGCAAACATTGTTATTAGCTTTTTATGCATCCTTCCCAAAAGTATATATATCTCCTATGCGTATACAAATATATAAGAATTCTTCATTTGGGTAGTGTGCAGAAAGAGTTAATATAACAGGCCTGAGAGTGCCACCCTCAGAAAGGCCCTGGGCTGGACTTTGGGAAGTTGGATTTTGGTTGGTTCCTATCATTTCCAGAGTCTTTAATGAGTTTCCATGGTATATGACACTTCACACATGTTGTCACAATTGGTGCTGGAGTAATTAAGTATGTCCTATGTTACTCCACGGGGAGAGAACTCTTGGAAGCTTGTGCTTGGTTTCCTCCAGACTTCACTTCATGTGCCTTTTCCTTTTGCTAATTTTGCTTTGTGTCCTTCTGCTGTAATAAATCTTAGCTGTGAGTCCTGTGAGTTCTAGTGAATTACTGAACTTGGGAGAGGTCTTGGGAACCCCCAACACAGGTAGATATGTGTTTTCTTCTGCATTACAGAATATTCTGATTCTATGAGAATCAGAAAGCTCTTTCCTTGTTGGTTAAAAGATAACTAAATTCAGTGAAACCATTTATATGAATATACTACTTTATTGGGTTTATCAGTCTCTGCCCTATACCACAATTATTGTATATCTCATCAATAAAAGGACCTTTTTCCTGACTCATCTTGATTATCTGTTCACTCTGGAGAGAAGTTAACTAGTAGCTTTGCATGTCATTTAAAAATTCTCCAACATGATCCAATCTGGACTTGTTCTCTGACGCTCAGCAGTTACTATGGGATTCATCATCTTTTGTGTATGTGTGTTTGTGTGTGTGTGTGTGTGTGTGTTTGTTTGTGTGTGTGTGTGTGTGTGAAAATGGAAAAATGATTTCCATTTTCTCTCTCATGTTTTAGATCTCCTATTTCCTTATCCTTTTTATACCTCCTTCCTTCTTTGTCTTGGTAAAACATTTTCTAGTAGTTTCTTGAGAAGAAATGTATGACAGGTAAATACTTCAAAAGTTTGTATGATTTTCCTACTTGATAATCTGGTAGAACTTTAAGTGGAAATCATATTCTTTTAGAAGTTTAAATGATTTGCTTCGTTGTCTTTGAGCTTCAGGTGTTGCTGTTGAGAAATGCGATATTCTGATTCTCTATCCATTGTGAATTTTTTTTTTCCTCTCTGGAAGCTTTTAGGATCTATCTATTCTTTCCTCTTTTATTCTGAAAACTTATGTCCTTCAGTCCTGGAAGGACTTAATTACTTAATTGATGTCTTTCCCTCTGGACTGGTCTTCCAATTTTACCTTTCTTTTTGAAGAGTATTTTTTTTTTAATTTAAAGATTTTATTGGGGAATTGCGGAAGGGGAACAGCCAAGTTGTTGTCCTTTTGTTCTTCAGTCTAGCTGTGGAGGACGTCGCTTTACTGGCCCATGTTGGTATTATGATCATTGCGCTTTCCCCAGCTGAGGCAGTTGGTCACTGGCCACTGGACGGCCACTCACGGTGGCTCATGGCAGCTCTGGGCTGCTCACGCCAGCAGCCGGCCACTCACGGTAGTTCACAGCAGCCCACGGCAGCCTACGCCATAGCTGGCCATTCAGGGAAGCCCAGCTCCAGGTCAAGCTGTTGTTCACAATGTTAGTTGTAAAGGGCGCAGCTTACTGGCGCATGTGGGAATTGAACCGGCAGCCCTGTTGTTCAAAGCTCACGCTCTTACCAGCTGAGCCGCTCGGCTGGCCCTTGAAGAGTATTTTTGCTCTATTTCCCTCAAATCTTCTGTAAGTCCCCGCTCCCCCCATTTCTGCTATCTTTTTTGTAATTTCTGAGAACACTTTATTTTTTATCCACTTTTTTTTTTTTGCATTCTGTTGTGGCTTCATCTTCTCTTATCTTTCCAGGATGTTACTGATAGTTTTTTGAAGTGTTCACCCTGCAGTGTCTGCTTCCTCCACATTCCTTTTTCTGTTGTTTAAATCTCTTCCTTTTATATTATTGAATTTTCTATGATTTTAAAAAGATAAATAATAAAAAGGGAGGAAGCTCTGAGTGGGTGGGTCATGCTTTTGACTTTGAATTTCACTACAGAGTGATCTGGTTGTATGGTTTGTTGAAAAGAATCCTGAGTCATATCTTTGGTGAGGCACACAGTCACTTAGTTCCCATTTTAGGTATAGTGCCCAAGCACCTACTAGAGAATTTCTTTCTCCAGAGAATTAAATCTCAAAACTTTAGCCTAGGTGGAAAGAGGCAGCTGCCAAGAGACATAAGGCTAGAGAAAAAAAATCTAGAGCTCAAACTGCTTCTCAAGCAGTTTTCACCTAATTACCCTTATTTTCAGAAATACCCCCATCTCCCCATCAATCCTAATTCCTGAAGCACCTCTTGCAGTTCCACAACCTTTCAAGGAGTCTATGGTTTAAACTGGGTTGTTTCTCAGCTTTCCCCATTGTCGGGGCGTGGGACACTTTCCTCTCATATTTGGTGCTTTCCAGCTTCCAAAATTTTGTTGCTGTCATCTGCTTGTCCTTGTGGACTTAGATTTTTAGAGGTTTAAAGCACGGGAAAGGCGAAATCAGATGATTGTATTCAAACCATCAATGTTAACTCAGGGCAGATATCAGTATTTTAAAAATCTTTTGGCCATTCCAATCATGTTGCTCAGTCATTCTTTCTAAGGCCCCTACTTCTCCATTTTGGCTCCACCTTCAGACTTCACGAGGATTTTGCCAACAACTACCACAATAAGCCAAAGACAGGGGCAGAGTGTTGGGGAGAAGGCATATCAACGGTACATGTTATATTTACTTGATTAACTGGTCTGTGCCCCGAAGCGCTGGTCTGTGGGAGTCAGCATTCACAGCGGCCTTTCTTTTTTTAAAGATTTTTATTGGGGAATTGGGGGAAGGGGAACAGACAAGTTGCTGTCCTTTTGTTCTTCAGTCTAGTTGTGGAGGACGTTGCTTCACTGGCCCAAGTTGGCACCATCATTGCGCTCTTCCCTGGCGAGGCAGATCAGTCCCCGGCTTCTGGGACAGCCGCTCACTGCGGCTGCTGGCGGCACAGCGGCCTTTCTATTTCCATCCGACCACACACACACAGCCTTGACCACTGCCCAGACCCTCCCCTTCCCGCCCCTGGAGCACCGCCCCTCCCAGACTTTAGAGCGTCAGTCTCCGCCCCACTCTGGCCTGAGGATCCTGCTTGCAGAGCCAGGTGATCCCCCCAGCAGGTTCAAGCCAGCGCTCAGGCTCTGGCGCCTCCTCGCCCGCCAGCGGAGCAGCGCCCCTGGAATGGCTTCGCTGCTGCTACTGCCACTGCTGCTGACACTGTCGCTTCCGGCTGGGGCCAACTGCCCGTGCCAGGATCCAGCGCTCTGCCAACCCATCCGCCACCACCCCGACTTCGAGGTAAGTGCCTCTTGCCTGCCCCTCCAGCTCTGGTCCTCAAGGCCTGAAAGACGTTAGAGTAGAACCGAGCTTTAAAAACAGGTAGCGTGGGTGCTGAAACCAACTTTCACCACTTGCTGAGGGACTTTCTGTTTCCAGATTTCTTCATCTTTAGATGAGGGAACTCGGGCTCAGAGAGGTTGACTAACTCCTCCCACGTCTCACAGTAAGTGTCTGCCTGCAAGAAAGCAGATCTGGCTTTGGAACCTAGGTCTGACTCCAGACACAAGCTGCTTTCATCACCTGCTGTGTCTCTGCAGTGCACTCTGGCCTTACAGGCAAGGAGCTGGGATAATGAGACATTCCCTAAGTAGCAAGACCCATGGGTTTCCAAGAGAATGAGGATCTAGTTTGAAAGAATCTCAGCACTCCAACAGAACACTGGAAGGCAGAATCTTTCACTTAACCTGGCTTTGCTGTACTCACCAGCTCTTTCCTGGAGGCACCTCAAAACCACCCAAAAGGATGGTAATGGGTCTATCAGTCCATTTTCCTTCTTCTCACCTAACAATTTATAAGGTATTTAGCAACTTTTAACACATCGTTTTGGAGGCAACATGAAAACCACCTGACTGCCTAGAGTTTGATGACTGCCACAGGAATTGGACATCAGGAAGGTCTAAAGGCTTAGTGAGTCCAAAGAGCAATTCTTTTGTAATGACAGGGACAATTGCCAGTTCTCAATCTAGCAGATTAAGTTTCAGACTGCGGCATTTAAATGCTAATTTTAAAAAAAGTATATATGCGTTACTTAGGAGATGGAATAAAAGTGGTGAAAGTGTTTATGGAGAGAACCTGCTGAGTGTGGAAACCTAACATCTGTAAAACTTACTGTAGCACCAATCCTCTTAGTGGGTTAGGCAGTGTCTGTGGGCATTTGGAAAACCAATTATGCAAACAATCAAAATTGTGTTCATTTGTGTGTTCATGGTAAGTTGTCTTTTTCCCTACGGACCTTTTCTACACTTTTCAAACACAAAGACTAGACTCCATATTTTTTTCCCCTTATATTTTCAATTGGTTCATCCAGATATTTTTTAGGATTTCTATTATATCACAAGCTCTCAGAATGTTTTAAAACAAATTCAATTTTAATAATCAGAATTAAAATAGGGGATAGGGTTCATGGTGGAAATATGAGTCCAAAAACAGTGAGCTGTTCCCTTTCACATTTTGTACTTTTTATTATTTCAGTGGGCTATTGCTTAGCAGAAATGAGTTATGCAGTACACTCAGAAAAGAAAAACAAAACAAAAAAACTCCAGAGACTGGAAAATTGAAAAATGTCCAGTTTAACTTTTATAGCTAGATCTCCCCATGAAACTTCCCATTTGTTCTACACAATGGCCCAGCGATCTCTTGCCCTGTCTCTCTCTCTCTTCCTTCCCTCTTATTTCTCAATGCAAATCTTACTTTAGGCCTCACCTCTGCTTAAAATATTCTAATGGCTTCCCATTGACATCAGGATAAAATATAAAATCCTTGGTTGTCTACAAGGCTTTATTTGACCTTGCACCACCTACCTTACTAGTCTTATCCACGTCCACGTACTTAGAGGATTTTGTGCTCCAGCCACATTGACTTTCTTTTGGTTCCAGAAATTCAGAATTCTCCTGAGGTATTAAAACCTTTGCCGTTTTTTGTCCGCTCTGCTGAGAATGCTCTTTTTGTCCACAGGCACCCCTCCTCCATTCTGCTCAGGCCATTTCCCAGGTTTCAGTCCTTCACTCTGTCCATTCTCTAGATTTCAGTCCTATCCTAAAAGTACGTAGTCCTCAGGGAAGTTTTCCTGCCCAACCAGGGCGGCAGGTCCCCTTTATGTGCTGTCATGGCCGCCCTGCATTCCCATGGGGCCCTTAACACTATTGTAGTTAAATAGTGAACCTGGTCTCTCTTTTTAACCTCCTTGTCACTAATGCCTAGCAATATACTCCTCCTATACCTTAACGGAATTCAATAACTATTTGCTGAATCAATGACTTAACACCTTATCTGGAATAAAGTAAAAATAATCAGTGAGACCTGTGTTTCTAGAATTTTCTGTGGAGGAAAAATACCGAAGAAACATAGCATCAGCTTCTCTGGAATTTAACTTGAGTATTATTCTAAGAAGTTAGGTTCACCAAAAATCATTCATAAAAATATAGTATCTATGGCTCCACCTGCAGCAGCCAGAAACCTGAGTGTTACCAGCCTCCCTCCTTTCTCTTGCCTCACTCATTCCAACAGTCACAAAGTCCTGTGAATTTTGCTCCGTAGGGTCTTCCAGGCCTGCTCATTTATCCCACCTGTCTCTGCTTCTCCCCAGCTTTGGTTGAGGTCTCCATCATCTCTTGCCTGGATTCTTCCAACAACATCCCTATTAGATATGCTGCCTCCGGTTTTAGCCTCTCCTGAATCCATTTCCACTTCCACTGCAGGGATTTGTCTCAAATGCATACACAAACGCGTACCTAAAATGCAAACATGCAACTTCTCCTTTAAAACCCCTTCCTTCAGGATAAAATAGTAATTTCTCAAGAGGCCTTCCAGGCATTTTGTGATTTAGGCCTCCCTACCACTGTCTGCCTCATCCCTGCTGTCGCAATCCACATTCTAGCCTCAGCCATACTCAGCAGTCAGTTACACAACCACCGTGCTCCCTGCCTCAGGCCTTGGCACTTGCCACCCCTTCCTCCTAGCCTACCTTTCCCTACTTTCCAGGATGGCAGTTTCCTCTGCCACCAATATAGTGCGCCCCCTGCCCATATGTCTTATTCACTTCGACCTCTCAGTGCCCACCGGTGCCTGGCATGTGGTTGGTGTTTAATCGTTAATTGGGGTTTGGGACATGATCTTCTTCTTGGTGTAAGTGATGCTACTTATTCCTGTTGTCCTGGCAGGTCTTTGTCTTTCATGTTGGTGACAAAACTTGGAAATCTTACGACTGGTCACAGATTACAACTGTAGCAGTCTTTGGAAAATATGACCCAGAACTGATGTGCTATGCTCACTCCAAAGGGGCCAGAGTAGTGCTAAAAGGTGAGTGACAGTTTTTCCCTGGTGTGTCCAGACAACTGGTAAGTGTACTTGCATCATTTGCTTCCTGCATATCTAAAATTTCCTTTTCACATTCATCTGGTATATTTTTATGCTAACTTTCAAAAATTAATGTTGAAGGCTGTTTATTTCACAGATACAGATAAACCAGTGCATGGTTTTGAGCAAAACGTGACTCCTAATTAGCATGATGACCTTTAGCTTATCATAGTCCACAATTTCTGTTTCTAATTTGAGAATGATTTGATACTAATTATTTATAATGGTTATTTTGGAGATTAATGAGTAATAGCTTTTTATTATTTTGCTATATTACTTCTCCATTTGAAAAACTTAAATTGGGGCTTAGTATTCCAAAATAATGAGATATTTAGGACAATTTGATCTCCTGGGATGGGTTTGTGAAGTAAATGTCTTAAACTGTGAACAGCATATATGTACAGAAGTGTATTTCTTCCACAGGAGATGTGTCGGTAAAGGCGATCATCGATCCCACTTTCAGAGCATCCTGGATAGCTCAAAAAGTTAACTTGTCCAAAACACAGTATATGGATGGAATTAATATAGACATAGAGCAAGAAGTTAATCGTTCATCACCTGAATATGATGCATTAACTGCTTTAGTCAAAGAAACTACAGATTCTTTCCATCGTGAAATTGAGGGATCACAGGTAAAAATTCATGTGATATTTTTTGAAAACGCTGTAATATCCCTGTCAAAATGTAGTCATGAAGGTATGATTAATAGAATCTCAGTTTCATAGTAATTGAGTAGAAAAAAATTTCAGCACTTATATCCTAGAAAAAAATTTCTGGAACGTCAGAGGCTTTATTAAAAAAATTTTACAGACTTTTAAGGTGATAAACCTTTTCTGTATGGACATCAAGATACAGGAATGGTCCCACCTTTTAGATTTGCTTCATGGTTAGAAATATTTGATAGGGAAAGGTATCACAAGAATAAGGAAGGGCTCAGCTCTCCAGGCTCTGCTGTCACCAATACAGAACAGGGAGAGCTCTCCTTAAAAGCAGGGGCAGTTCTGGGGAAGAGTCGCAGATGCTCCAGAAACTCTGAATTACTGTAAAGCCCCTGAGGCCCACTAAGGACCAAAGGACTAACTCCATAGAACTAGTCAGAACTATGAGAAAAGGCAGTGCATTTCCCCACTGCCAGGAGGAGGGTGATGAGAGCAGATCACAGCACAAGGCATCCTGCCAGGCAGTGAGTGTATGGGTAACAAAGGAGAATGTGCCCCAGATAAGTGATGCTTAAACCTGGCCGAGGTATATGAAGATAAGAAGGAGTCTTAGAAAAAGCACACACATATTCACAAGGGTTGGGTAAGCCCAGAGTCCGTATGTTTTAAAAGTTTCATAGGTGATTATGGTTAAGAACTGCTAGGCTAGAAGATTCTGGACCAAATGGAGACATAGGAGGCTCCTGAAATTCCCTCCTCCCTGGACACCAGAATGTATATCTACAAATGCAGCAATCTCCTCAGAGTGAAATCCAGAATCCAGCTGAGTGGCTCCTACACATCAGGTGACTAAGGAAATGACCACATCGAAATGAGTAGGAAAGGGCTACTGGGACATACTCTCCCAATAAACCCCATTCCTGACACAGCGCCATATGATCATGGGGAACCCCCAACTCCCAGCTTCTCCCTGAGGAGCAAATGCTTTGGAATGCACATTTATTGCCCCATCTTTTAATTAAGGCTCCCACCTGAGGGATGGGCCACCAAAACACCTCGCTCGGAATGCCAACAGGACTTGCTTTCCTGAGTCTCACAGGACTGGAATGGAGCAAACAAAGAAGAGGTTTCCCAGGCATGTGAGCACTAGCAATGGGTGTCCTCCCAGGGCTCAGCTCAGAAGACACAGGAGACACCCATCTCCCAGGCTTTTTCTGGAGGAGTTTGATTGCATACTTCCCAAGCTGCTGCCTGAGGTTCTGGCTTCCAGTCAGCACAGATGAGGTAGTGACTGCAACCCTCCGCAGGCCCCAGAGAGCCAGCCAGTGGGCACTCCCCCCGCTTCTCCCTATGGTTCCAACAGTAAATCCAGGTCACTAGGTCACTGAAAGGTACTTGTCCACACATTTAGCATCCCAACCTTTATGGCTGCCATTCTAGGGACAGACCCCCAAATCACCCAGCTCTCCTAGCTAGCAAGGATTATAGCACACAAAGAAGCAGTTTTACAATGGGGGCAGGAACCCCCATTATACACTTAGGGTCAGCCCAGAGGGAGCAAGAAAAAACATCCATCTCCTAGGAAAGGGTTTAACTGCAGACTTCACCAGCTGCCTAAAGGTGCAGCTTCTAACCAGCCTGCATCTAGGTGCTCACTGTGATTCTCCTCTTTGGGACACTGGTGGGTCTTGGAGCACCCTCAACTACTGGGAGTGATAGAACAAAGACAGCAAGTTGGACAATCACAAAGGTTTGAGAGGGAACCAGGAGTTCAGGCCAGGCTGACTGACAAGTTTCGTCTCTTACATAAGACTAATTTGTCAAGCTTGGAAGAGGTAGCTGTTTATCTAATGTGCAGAAATGAACAGAGAAAGTCAAAGAAAATGAACAAAGAGGTTCCAAAGTAAAGAACATAATGAACAGACCTTAATGAAACTGAAATAAGTGATTTACTCAACAGTGATTTCAACATAATGGTCATAAAGTGGCTCACCAAGGTCAGCAGAGCTATGCCTGAACAAAATGAGAATTTCAACAAAAAGAGGAAATATTTAAAAGCACTCAACAGAAATCACAGAAATTAAGAATAAGAATAACAAAACTGAAAAATTCAGCAGAGGGTTTCAACACCAGACTAAATCAAGCAGAAGGAAGGATCTACACATGCAGACAGTGGATTTCATCTCATCAGAGCAGTAAAAAGAAAAGGGAATGAAAGAGGGGGAAGATAGCTTAAGGGATATATGAGACACATTACATAGACGAAAATGTTTTAAACAGTTCCCAGAAGAGAAGAGAGAGAGGAACAGGCAGAAAGTTTACTCAAAGAAGTAAAGTTAGAAGTTCCCTAGCCTGAGGAAAGAAAGAGACATCCAGATTCAGGAAGTCCCCAGTGACCCACACCAAGACACATTATTATTAAATTGTCAAAAGCTGAAGACAAAGAAAGAATCTTAGAATCAGCAAGTGAAAAGCAACTTATGTACAAGGGAACACCCCTCCACCCCCACTCCGGTCATAAGACAAGCAGTGGATTTTTCAGCATAAACCTTGCAGGCCAGAAGGGAGTGGGTTGAGATCCTCAAAGTTATAAAAGAAAGACATGGCCAAGCAAGAATACTCCTACCTGGTAAAACTGTCTTTCAGAGTTGAAGGAGAGATAAAGAGTTTTTCAGACAGGTGAAAGAAGTTCATCACCACTAGACCTGCCTTACAAGTAATGTTAAAGGAACTTCTTCCAGCTGAAACAAAAGGATGCTAATTAGTAACATAAAAACATATGAAAGTATACAAGTCATGGGTAAAGGTAAATATATAGTTAAACATATATTATATTCAGAATATTATAATAGTTGTGGATAAATCACTTATAACTCCAATATAAAGGTTAAAAGACAAAAGTATTAGAAATAACTGAACTATAATAATTTGTTAACAAATACACTATTTAAAAAAGATATATATATAGTGACATCAAAAACATAAAATGTGGGAAATGAATAAATGTAGAGCTTTTGTATGCATTTTAAGTTGTTATCAACATAAAATAGACTGTATAAGATATTTTTCAAAACTTAAAATTTTTTTATTGATGCACACTTGACAGATAACCTTGTATTAATTATATATATTAGTTACAACATTGTTTCAGTTATGATATGATTTGATGTTTGTATATATTGTAAAATTATCACCACAGTGAATCTAGTTAATATCCATCACCATATATAGTTACAAAAAGTTTTTTTTAATGTAAGCCTTATGATAACCACAAAACAAAACCTATAACAGATATACAAAGGATAAAGGGAAAGGAATCAAGTGTACCATTACAGGAAATCATCAAATCACAAAGGAAGAAAGGAAGAGAAAAAAAGAATTACAAAACAGCCAAAAAACAATTAGCAAAAGGGCAATGGTAAATTGCTATCAAATACTACTATCAAAATTGCTTTATCAATAATTATTTAAATGTAAATAGATGAAATTCTGTAATCAGGAGGCATAAAAGTGGCTGAATTGATTAAAAAAATAAGATCCAACTGTATGCTGCCTATAAGAGACTCACTTCAGCTTTAAGGACACACAGAGACTCAAATGAAGAGATTCCATGCAAATGGAAACCAAAAGAAAGGAGGGGTAGCTATATTTATATCAGGCAAAATAGACTTCAGGTCAAAAATTGTCACAAGAGACAAAAAAGGTCATTATATGATGATTAAGGGGTCCATTCATCAAGGAGACATAACAATTGTAAACATTTATGCTCCCAACATCAAAGCACCCAACTATATTAATCAAATGCTAACACATAACTGAAAACAGAAACAGATAGAAATAGAATAATAGCTACTTATATAACATATAATAATAGCTGGTGACTTCCATACTCCACTTTCAGCTATGGATAGATCATGCAGACAGATAATCAATAGGAGAACATCACTAAGGAAACCACATGTTAGATCAATGGGACTGAACAGACATTCATAGCACACTTCATTCAACAGTAGTAGACTATCCTTTTCAAGCATACATGGAACATTTTCTAGGATAGAGCATATGTTAGGTCACAAAATAAGCCTTAATTAATTTAAGAAGATTGAAATCATATCAAGCATTTGTGCCTACAATGGTGTGACATTAGAAATCAATTATAAGAACAAAATCCTGTCACTATATGGACAACTTGGAGGGCACGAGGCTCAGTGAAGTAATCCAGACAGGTAAAGGCAGATACTGCATGGCATCATTTATGTGTGGACTTCCAAAAAAAAAAAAAAATTTCAAGCTCAAAGAAACAGAGAGTAAGTAGGTGATTACTACGGGCTGGGGGAAATAGGGAGAGGCTGTTAAAGGGTATAAGCTTTCTATTGTAAGATGATTGACGTCTGAGGATTTATTATATAACATGGTGAATATAGTTTATAATACCATGTTGTATAATTGAAATTTCTTAATAAAGTAGAACTTAAGTGTTATAAAAAAGGTAAATATGTGAGGTGATGGACGTGTTAATTTACTCAATGATGGGAATTCTTTCACAATATCATCATCACATTGTACACTTTAAATATAATTTTATTATTATACCTCAATAAAGCTTAAAAACCCTTACTAGGCTAGCCAGTGATTTTTTTTAAGAGAGGGACAAGCTCCTTGATGTCTAATAAAATGTTTAAAAATTGTTTATTAAGTGAATGAATGCTACTTGCCTTTCAAAAATTTAAAATCTAGTTAAGTAGGCAATACATATATATGTAAACTATATTATATGTTATATAAGTAGTATTAACCAGTGACTCTAAACCTATTTCAGGGAGTGTTTGTAAGAAACATCCCCAGCGATTGATTCAGTAAGTCTGGGATAGAGCCAGGAACTGGACTCTTGTCAGGTTGTGCTAGGTGATTCTGGTACAGTCAGCATGAATTTGAGAGTCACTGGAAAAATAATAAATGATGTAAGGATGAATGTCTCTGTGGCTTTATGCAAGTAGGGAAGTTTTGTCTGTGTGGAATTCGGCTTTTCAGATGAGTACAATTTAGATCGAGGAAAGCACATACTTGGTCTGCAGGCCACCAGACTCCTCTGCTCACATAGTTTGGACTCAGAAACTTTTCCCTCATTCTCTAGATTGCTGTTATTGATAGATTAGAATTGATGTGTGGGAAATAACCTACTTGCTCGTGCTGATTAAACTATAGTGAAAGGGCAAGGAGGAAGAGATTGAGCAAAGACTCTGCAGTAGGAATATCTATTTCCATGTTTGAGGGGCACACAGACAAATTTGGGCTACTGCGTCAGGTTCATGCTAGGTAAATTAGTGGGAGGCACAGCTGCCAAGATAGGCCAGATTGTGGAAGATCCAGAATACCAGAAGGAAGATCATGCATTTTATTCTGTAAGGAACGGGTTATATGGGTAGAGAGTGGGAAGAATGTTCTATAGTACGTACGATAGTATGTAAAATAGTCAAGAGAAGAAACAGACCAGTAAGGACTAACCTAATAATACAATAATGGGATTTGTGGTTTGGACTGGATAATGGCATAACCCTAACACTCAGCAAGTGTTCAACAAATATTTATTGAATTAGTTAGTGGAAAGGAAGGGGCCAACCAATTGTGAGAAGCCACCCAAAGGAAAATGTGAGATTAGTGATGGTGTGTAGGGAAAAAGATTCAGAAAATGGCCAAAAGGTTCTTGAACTGGTGGCCAGAACATAAATGACTAAAAAAGACTCTGGAAGGAGAAATGTGTTTTTTTGAGAAAAGACAATTTAAGATTACAGAATTGTGGCCAGAGAATTAAAGAGCTAGAAATGCTCTTGGGTTCTTCCTACATCCTCATTTTTATAGGTGGGAACACACATTCAGATGTTTTATGCTACATAGACCTAGTCATCACAGAGCTAAGACTAGAACCAAAGTCTTTGATTTCTTGTTTAAAATACTAATATTGCTTTCTCAAAAATATGAGATTAACTATGACATGAAGTGAAAATACTCTTAATGCTCAGGAAAGAGACAAGGACTAACAAAATGGATTTGAAACTTACCACCTTGTTAGTTTCTCCTTTATGATGGTATACACAGCTCCCGTTTTGTAATAGGAGGCAGTGATAAAACGGGGTCAATATGTAAAAATTTCACTTTATAACCTATTTTGCTGGAGAACTATTGAGGAAGGCTTATACTTGTAAAACAGAGCTTTCATTAGCTCTGAGTGCTAATACTCAGAGAATTATAGAGAGAACTTTGAGAAAGTCCTAAAAAGAATAATAGAATAAATTTGCCAAAGTGTAAAAATTTCAACTAAGTATCTCAATTGTTTGTAGTAATTAATCAATGGGTTTATTGAGAGCTGAATTATGGGGAAAAAAACTTTTAATGAAGCTTTAGAACATTTGCACTCATGTAAAATAAGGCTGATTAATATTTGGTTAAGGCAACAAATATTTTAAATGGAGAGATTCTTGTAGAAGACTGGCGCATCATTCAAAATGAAAGAATTTATTATTCAAGTTTTACTGGAATATTTCCATAAAATAAGGCTATTAAAGTGGTTTGTTCAACATTTCAAGTTGATTATCTATACATGTAGCTATAAACCACCACTGTCAGGTTGGACTGAAACTACCATATAATGAAATTGTAAATTAGGGGCTCAATCTTCCAACACAGGCCAATCAGCTTGTGCCAACGAATGACCACTTTAGCCAGTACAATATTTTAAAAACTGTTGTATTTGAATTCTTCTGGTATGAATTCTTACTTTCCAGTTGCTTACAGGCCTCATCACACCCTACTGTCATGACACCTGTTTCTTTCCATAAGCTGAGTCACAGTCTAGACTCTGAAGACATTTGAGCTTAAAAGTCCTCTTCTACACAGTGCTCTGCTCCTGGTCACTGTATACATCCAAATATGTCGGGTCCAAATATATGTCCATTGTCCAAATATACATCTAAGTCATTGTCCAAGTATAAGTCTGGGTCAGTCCATGTCGGCAAAAAACATGTTTCTTAGAACTGTTCTAGTTTTAGTTCTCTATGTTCAAACTCTAACTCATATATGTAAACAGCTCTGTTTTCTCAGGTAGTATGAGGCAAGAGGATATATATTCAACAAAATACCTGATATAATATGCATATTTGGTCATGCCACGTAAAACTGCATGCGTTTCTCCACAGGTAACGTTTGATGTAGCTTGGTCTCCAAAGTGCATAGACAGAAGGTGCTATAATTATACTGGAATTGCAGATGCTTGTGACTTTCTCTTTGTGATGTCTTATGACGAACAAAGTCAAGTCTGGTCAGAATGTATTGCAGCAGCCAATGCCCCCTATAATCAGACATTAACTGGTAAGAATACACCAAATGGTCATTAGTAATATTAATTCCATAACCTCAAACATTAATATACCTTTTAGTATTTCCAAATCATTTGTATACCTTTTCCATTTATAAAGCTTTCTTGAAACATATGAAAAACAATTAATTTAGAGAGCTTTAAAATTTACAAAAAGTTTTCAAGTTTTCACCTAATTCTTCTAAAAATCTTGTGGGACAAGTATGTGATTTGTTTTTCTTATGGTTTATTTTTTATTTTTATTTTTTAGTATGCAAGCAGGGTTTATTAGTGATACATTCTCAGAGCAGAGAACGGGCCTAGCCGAGGTGGGAGAGGAAGAGAGGGAGAGAGAGAGGGGGAGGGCAAGAGAGTACAAGGGCCAGACAGCAAATGTGTTACTATTAACCATCTATTATAGATGAAATGATGTTAAGTTCTCCTGATTGCACAGCTATTAAATATTATGTAGTTGGGACTCAAGCAGGTGTCCTGCCTTCCAGTCAACGCTCTTCTCTCAAAATTACATGAAGAAGATAATTGCTAATCTAGAATTTGACAGGATATTTTTGTTGAAGTGACCAATGTTAAATAATTTGAAAGCAAAGATAGTTATGATGTATTTTCTATACGTCACTGATAGGATGGCTTTATCTTATTTGGCATTCAGGTTAGTACCCATGCCAATGACATAATTAGAATTACGAGTACTTCTGATCTGTCATTCATATGATTTGGACTTTGCATTATCCTTTCCCACAGTTTGGACTGGTTTGTGTCACATCAGCCAGTTGAATAAAATGTTGCTTGCTATCTTTTGCACTCAAGTGAAATTTTCTGGGATAGCTGGCATTGATTTAAGTGTTGATTGGTTAATAAATAAAAAAAAAATCTTTTCTTTTTCATATAGAGCTAAAATCTTAGGACCTGGCCTCATTTTATCATGTCCTAATTGTTTGGACAGAATAGTCTGATCACAAGAATATACTATTAAAAATTTGAAACAATAATTTAATTCTGTAACAATTAAAAAGATATTATTTAATACAGTGTTTCCAAATTGTGTTACATCAAAGAGATAATAATTGTGTTCTCTCAAGAAAAGTTTCATTATCAGATATGTTTGGGAAATGATGCATACCTGCACCCTTCTCTTGGATATTTAAAGGCTCTGAAAAGTAGCAAATTTACTTAACTCAACATTCTAGATTGTCTTGGAACTTCTCTTGGTGGGAAAACATATTCTGTAGCACTGGGCAAGAAAGGAATTGATAGTTATAGAAATCTGTTCATTTTCTTCTCTGTTTCCTATAACTACAGAGTAGGTAATACAGAAGATCTTATCCCTGTAATTCATACTTATAGGATATTTGTAAAACATGAAACACTTGTGCTTTCTATAAGAAATTCTGAGATCATTCCACACAGAAAGTTTCAAGACTTATAGAACTTTTTTGAAACTTAGAGTATCAAATTTATCAAATATATCAAATATATCATGTCTTAGCAATTAATACAATTAGCATGCCTTTCTGAAATGTGTCATTTGTCCTAGGAATAAACTTTGTGATTTTTTTGCTCAGGTTAATCTTAACTGTTTTGAATGTTCTTATTATTCAAAAGAAATGATTTAGAAAGTGATTTAGAATTTAAAGTTCTTAAGGGATGACTTTTATAATATCACATTAGAGAAGCACTGTGTTAGTATTTTGCATAAACATACTATGTTTACAATCTTAGATTCTGAGTAGTTGCATACCTTGTATAAACATATTAGTAGACATACGTAGAGGAAAAATATGCTTTTTCTGTCTGTCTATGATTAGCATATGATGACTACATCAAGATGGGCATTAGCCCTAAGAAACTTGTAATGGGTGTTCCCTGGTACAGTTATGATTACACCTGCCTGACTTTATCGGAGGTAAGAACAGCTCATTTCTTATGTAATTTTTTCTCTTCCTTTTGCATTTTTAGAGCTTGTTTTATTTCATATATATAAACCTCTATATATGGAATATGTAAACTTTAGAATTTCTGAAATATATTTTGAGACTAAAAAGTAGAGATGTTATTATTAATTGTTTAATCCTATGAAAGTTTCTGAATGTATGTATTTCATTTAATAATAAAATTTAATGTTCATACTGTATAGTCAGGATAGCTAGTTACAGTATATATTATATTTATAATAAATAGTTTTTACTATATTTTCTGGTTTCTCTCTTAACATACGCTTAGTTGATGACCTATAACAAGAACATTTTTGCATTTCCAGGATCATGTTTGTACCATTGCAAAAGTCCCTTTCCGGGGGGCTCCTTGCAGTGATGCGGCAGGACGTCAGGTGCCCTATAAAATAATCATGAAGCAAGTAAACAGTTCTATTTCTGGAATCCAGTGGGATGAAGATCAGAAGGCTCCATATTATAACTATAAAGTAAGGCTTTTCACAAGTTATGAACATTTATTTCTATAAGTTTTCACAATTGCATATTTTCATAATTATATATTAGATATGGAGAATTTCTACTAGTTTTCTTTTAGGGCACAATATACAAACTTCTGTTTATATGAGTAAACTTGTGTTTGAATCTGTGTAATCAGAACGTTACTTCCCTGGTGGGCAACTCAGGTTGTGCTCATAGTGGAACTGCTGTACATGGCAGTTCCTATAAATGTTGTAATAAAAACATGCACATCACAAACAGGATTTCCGTAATACTCGACAAATATGTAGGATTGACTCTGTCTTCTAAAAGAGCTCTGGGCCAAAATAGGCTGCCAGCTCTGAAAGCCTCCATTTCAAAGTGGATTAAGACTCTGCTGAGGCTGTTATATAGAGAGGAATGAGGCTGAGAACAAGAGATGTGCCATAATGGACTGTACAATGGAAAATGGCACCATTTCTAATTCAATTCACAATTCAGTCAAACTACGTGACATTAGACAAATTATAAACAATGTTAAAATTAGAGACTGAAACATATTACAGAGACTTGACTAAATGGAGTGAATGATGAGCATTTCTGTCAGGTACTGTTTGATGAATAGGAATTGCCATACCAAAAGGCAAGAGAAAAGTTATATTTTTCATAATTTACCTTTAGCATAATAAAAACTTTTCACACCTTGAAAACCTAAATGCAAACCATCTTTGAATTGACTTTGGATTATATCACTGTAAAAGGAGACTTAAAATGATATGAGGTAAGCTAATTCTAGTAAGAATTTATATATTTTTACTAATGGTTTGCTACTCTTCTATGACTGCAAACATACACATTTAATAAATTATAATTGATATACATCTATACATGCCTGTATATAAATTATATAGAAAGCTTTACTGTAGAGCTTTCTTTACTTAAGAATCTAAAGTATATACCTATTCATTAAACTACAGTACACTGTAACCTTATCTTTGCCCAACAGTATTTATAGAACTCTTTTCTGGGAACTGTTAATATTACACACATACACACACACAAATATACACACATATGCCATGGCCAAGTACATTTTGAAAACAATGCATACATACTGTATGTCCCTCTTAGAGATTTATAATGAACAACATTATATTAAAGGATTTGAAAAGTGCTGCAGTACATAAGCCGTTTAATTGTATAACTTGGAACCCTGTTCCCCAGCGCTCTTAGAAACATGTAGGAGGAAGAGTGTTTCATGGATATCAGTTTGGTAAAGTCTGTGTGTAACCAATTATATATAGCTTAGAAATATTTAATATAGAATAATAGTTTACATTGTGATGTAGTATTTTTTGAATCCCTGACTTATTTTTTCCTTAATGAATAAGAAGACACATTCTTTCAGGTCTTAGAATTCAGGAAACATTTTTTTTTTTTTAAGATTTTTATTGGGGAATTGGGGGAGGATGGGAACAGCGCTGGGGAATTGGGGGGAGGGGAACAGACAAGTTGCTGTCCTTTTGTTCTTCAGTCTAGTTGTGGAGGACGTTGCTTCACTGGCCCAAGTTGGCACCATCATTGCGCTCTTCCTGGGTGAGGCAGATCAGACAGCGGCTGCTGGCCGCTCATGCTGGCTGCTGGCTACATACGGTAGCCCATGGCAACTCACTGCAGCAGCGGCCGCAGCCTACGCTGTTGTGTTGCCTGCCACTCATGGCAGCCCAGCTCCAGGTCAAGCTGTTGTTCAGCATCCTAGCTGTAGAGGGCAGTGTCACTAAGCCTCATATGTGGGATCCGAACTGGGGCCCTCTGGCGTCCCAAGCCAGCTCTTAACCAACGCGCCACTCAGCCTGCCCTCAGGAAACATTTTGATGAGCCCTGAAGGCCATTCATTCAATGGCACTTTAGACAATAATCTGGTTATTACTCTTTTGTTCCTTTTTTTATTCATTGTAAAATTCTTAGCAACCAAAATCAACTTTCTGAGTGATTGAAGAGAAAAAAATTTCCCAGATGTATATAATACATAGTAATTATTTTTAATTAATTACAGGTCATTCTATTTTTTGCCTCCTATTTTTTCCCCTCCTCTACCTGTTTGTCTAGATTTGCTCCTTTCCTCTTTCCTTTATTCCTTATCCCATAGCTTCTATATCTTCTAAGAGAGACTGGGTTATTACTAGAGGCAGGTGTTGTTGAGGAGGAGGACTTACAGGGTGGAAGGTGAGCCTAAGACCACTTTCAAGTTTATGGGTTCATCAGCTCTGAGCTTAAGGCCCCATGGAGTCCAGATCTGACAGGCTCTTAGAATCAACACTGTAAGACCAAGAAAAGGAGGTAATTTCCTCGTCTCTTGCCCTTCATTACCTTTTGGTTTGACTGTTTCATCATAAACAAAAGCGTGTGTTGAGCTCCTAACCAAGCATATTTCCAGGAACTGTAAGGAATACAAAACAGTGTATAAGCCGGGATCACAGGACCAGAGCAGTGGTCCTCCTTAACCTTGGCTGCACATCAGAATTACCTAGTAGAACATAAAACACAAAACAAACATGTTCTAGCACTGACCCTGGAAGGTTTTGATTCATTAGGTTTCATGTGGTATGGGTCCCAGGAATCTGTATTTTTCAAAAGCTTCGTAAGTGACTCAAATGTACATCCTGGTTGATAATCATCAGATCACAGAAGGAATGAATCTTAGGGCAGGAGAAGGACCTCAAATGGAATATATTAGGAGGCTCATTTATGTAATCTCTGCTGTTGTAAAAGTGCCACAAGTGATGCTATCTAGAAAGTATCAGATGTAGAACCATGGAATCCTAGAACTGGAAAGTATTCTGCCCTAAAATTTTATTATTTCGTTGTATCCCTTTTGAATCATTATAGTTAAGAAATGTTTTTCCTCTTATTGTAGCGAATACTTAAAATTTCCAATTTCATTTATTTGTATAGGATGATGCTGGCCGTATCCATCAAGTGTGGTATGATAACCCGCAGAGCATTTCTTTAAAGGCAGCATATATACAAAGGCGTGGCTTACGCGGCATTGGCATGTGGCATGCAAACTGTCTTGACTACTCTGGAGATGCTGTAGCCAAACAGCAAGCTGAAGAAATGTGGAAAGCCTTAAAACCAAAGCTATAAAAACATGAACATCTTTTGTTAAATATTAAGAATTAGAATATTATCTGTATAAACAGGTCTAGTTTCTCAAAGAGATAAAAATATATACTTTTTTGTAATGTTTGGTAGATATTTTAGTTATTAGTATATTCATAAACAAATAAAGAGATTCTTTGATTGTTTTAATTTGAAAGATATATATATATACCTATATACATATAGATATATATATATATATACAGTATTTCCCCATGTATAAGAAGCACCCAGTTTTTAGACCCCAAATTTTCTGAAAAATGGTGCGTCTTATACATGGGGAAGTACGGTATAGATAGATAGATATAAATAGCTTCAGTGTCCAGAAACATAAAAAAACCAAGTCAACTTATTATATTAAATATCCCTCGATATGTGTTTTAATTCTATAGGAAAAATTGCTTTGAAAAAAAATTGCATTGGAATTTTATTATGCTATATTTTTCCCTGTGATATTAAAATATATGCTTAAAAATTAATGCTAATTTTAAAATATGCAAATTTGAAGTGGTAATTCTTTGTTTAGAATAGATTTTTTAAAACCTAGTCTTTGAGAAATCAGTTGCTGTGCAATATATATTTTTTTTGATACATCTAAATTTAAAAACTGCCATTTAGTGTCTCCTTGTTAGGTTAATTGAACTCCTGGAATAATTATCTGCTCCCTGATTCTGTATAGTACTCATAGTCTCTAGAATTAAACTCACTTAACCCTGCTGAGGATAAAAAAACAAACAAAAAGGAACATAAGGATTAAAATACTCTCAAAATACAAAAAACGAAATTGGTAATATTTGGAATTAGTAGGTTAGAGCTACCTATTTTCCAACTAAATTATTTTTCATGAGGTTATATCTCATATTTTGTTACAACAGGAAAAGCTTGCTGTTGAACCTAATTCTATCCATGATCACTTACTCTTCCATTATTAATATTCCTTTACTTATGGACATCGATGCTTTATTTCTTGGCTAGTTTTCTTTTCATGGTTCATTTTTTTCTTTTTTATATCTGCATTTTACTTTTAACTATTTAAAGACATTGGTTTCTCAAGTAGTTTCTCTTTCTAAAACAGACATTTTTCTGCAAAGAACTTTTCTAAATGTACAGAGGTCTCTATTTTCTTTCGCAAGGCAATTAAGAACACTGTGTTGTACTTATATTATTTCCTACAAATACTTAGATTAAAAGTCTGCATCCTTGAAATCTGGAGTTACATAAATCTTGCCTTCCCTGCACATTTTTCCCCCTCTAAATTGAAATAAATAAGGATTCAGTCATCCGTTATGAGAATATTTCATTTCACACTTACACAATTATTTATGGCATCATAGAACCAAATTTTTCTATATATTTGCTGAATGTCTAATGTCTTTTTATTTCTAAAATAAATTACCAAAAAACTTTAAATTCCTAGTCACTAAACTCTATCATACTCTGGATGCAAGTTCAATATCTCTATTGTTTTATATTTGCAGATTGTTTTAATTAAAATACAATGAAAAAATTAAACTCTCTATTTACATGCAAATATATTCATATTTATTAAATGATATTCCTTTTCAATAATTAAAATTTACAGTCATATTTACAGCTGGTTTATTGTCAATTTTACAGTTATAATTTTTTCAGACTGTTTAAAAAAGTATGAAATATAGTACTGTCAATAATATGTAACAGATTTGAAACCATCAAAAATAACCAAATACCTACTACATTTTGCTTTTATTTATCTACTATTTCCTGAAACCCACTATAATACCCACCTGAAAAATGCAAAAAATATAAACCTAATGATTTACATGAAATATTGCCAAGGAAAACAAAGGTTAAACAAATCTGTTCAAATAAATATTTAATTTTTTAGAGAAATAAAAGTTTTAAATTAACATACCTAATTGAGGCTGTAAAGATGTATTCACTTTATTTTGTGCCAGTTCAGCCTTCAATGTGCGTACTTCTGAAATTGCTTGTTTTCTCATCTATAAAAAGAATTACCTTCCATAAATGAACTTTATTTTACCCCTTTAAAATTACATAATTCTCATGTAAATAAAGGTTTTTGTTTTTGCTTTTTTTTAACTGCTTTTACTGTTTTCTCTCATTTCCCTTCAGTGTCTTCACTCGCACTGGATTACTATGGTAAATATATAGGTCAAAAGTCATGTTGAATAAACATGCTTATTTACTACCAGATAAGCTATCAAATAATTTCATTTATTAGTATACAATCGTAATACAATTAAATTGTTGTAAAAAACCAGAGTGGGAAAAAAAATCTTTTGCTCAAGCTTTGAAATCTGTTGTTTTGAAGTGTAAAGAAATAGTATAAAAAAACAACAACAACAAAAAAACCAAAATACAAAAAAAAAAACCAAACGTCCAAAAAAACAAAATTAGAAAAAAAACCTTAATTCCCAGTCCTTAGAAACTGAACAGATACTCAAGTAATGTAGCAGTGTTATTCTGAAAAAAAAAGTGTTATTCGGTGGCAAGCACTCTTCTAAGTGGATTAACCTCTTTGATTCTTTCAAAAATTTTATTGAGGCAGATACTATCACTATCCCCATTTTACAGCTGAGGTAACAGCGATGCCTCGAAGTTCAGTAACTCACTCCAGGTATAAAACTAGCAAGCGGCACAGCCAGGATTCAAACTCAAACCATCTGGTGCCAGAACCCTTACTATTCCATGTGTTGTCTGTGGACCAGAAGCATTCGCATCACCTGGGACCTTCTTAGGGCTGAAGAATCTCAGGCTTCACTCCAGACCTATTGACTCAGATCCTGCGAACTTCCAAAGAATCCCCACGTGATCGCATATTAAACTTAGAGGCGCTACTTATGCTATAGTACCTTGAATATGCTTGCAACAGGCTCAAGTTGGTTTTCTGCCCCCTAGTTCTGAATCTCATAGGTAAGTTTTGGGCAAATTATTCACAAATCAGTAATACATACTATGTGCCAATCAGGCACTATGGTTAAAAGTAGGATTCTTTTTCCCCAGTCTGTAAGCTGAAAACTTGGTGTGTTTTTTTTCCTATTAGTGTTTCCTGTTTTTGTACTAATTATTCTAATACGGTTCAAACCATTCATAAGTGACATTTATAAGGT